GTTTTATTGCAGTTTTTATTTTATAATTCAGAGTAGAGTTTCCGTAACTGGGGCTCCTGCTTTCGAAAGAAATTATTAAAATTTTTCAAAGAATTCTACTGAAATATTGAATCATAGAATTTCTCGTGATTTCATAAATTTAATAATTGGTGGGTCGGGTAACAGATGTTAAAAATATTTTTACCAAAATTTCTAAATTAATTCATTTTTCAATAAACCCTGAAATTTTCTTTAGAATGCAATAGTTATTTGATTGATACAAGAATTTCCGAATAAATGTTTAAAATGCTAAAATTTCTTATATTAATTTATGGTCACCTGTTGACGCAAGAAAAAAATTAACCAAAATTTTGAAAGTTCTGAAAAGTTTAAAAAAATATAATTTAATAATCCAAAAATTCTTTAGTACTTCCGCTTATTAATAACATAAATATTTTCGCGATAAAACTTTGTTTTTCTTCAATTTGAGACATTATTTCATCAGGTATGCTCAGTTTAGAGCGATTTTTCATATATGAGTTGGGCTCAAATATAAATCAAATATGGATCGGAATCTGATGGAATGATCAGATAAGGGAACGTTTATCAATCTAACACGTTTCGCTTTTGTTAAAGCTTCGTCAGAGACTGAAATATTGAGAAAAGCAAGAAAGAAATTATAATATTTTTAGGTTTTGTTGTCTAATTTTCAAATGCCAATCATGCATCATGTTCATTCGAATCATTTAAACGAACGTTAGTATAAATTGTGACGTTCTGAATTCAAGAAGAGTTGACACATTTCCAAAGAGTCGAATACACGTGATGCATGATTGCCCAATGAAAATCAGACAGCAAAAATTAAAAATACCAGAATTTATTTGTTTTTTTTTTCTCCATACGAAGCTTTAATAAAAGAGAAATCATGTTAGATCGATAAAAAAAAAAATTATTTGACTAATTGAGCTTAGCGCTGAAAACGTTCATTTTATTATAGTGGATGGTTACGAGCGACAGGGAAGATGAAATGGAATTATTTTGTTACCACAATATATATATATATATATATATATATATATATATATATATATATATATATATATATATGTGTGTGTGTGTGTGTGTGTGTGTGTGTATATATATATATATATGTGTGTGTGTTTGTGTGTGCGTGTGTGTTTTGAACAATAAAAATATTAAAAAATTTCAATTTTCAGATCTACTATTTTTTTTTTGTTTTATTATTTCAATTAGGTTTCTCGACTAGTTTCAGTCTGCATGGTCATCATCAGAAGAAAAAATTAGAAGAAAAAAAAATTAGGAGAAAAAATTCTACTTAATACCAGTGAACTACAGGAGTAAATAATAGCTTATGAAGAAAATAAAATTTATCTAGTTTTCATATGTTTTTTATCGTTAATTTGGGTCGGTCCTTGTGTTAATCAAACGGCCTCTTTCTAGAGGAGATTCATGACATATATATATATATATATATATATATATATATATATATATATATATATATATATATATATATACAATTTTAAATTTGTTGAAACAAAATGACTATTTTTGTAGTGATTTTATAACATATTTATGTTATAATTTTTAAATAAATAATTATATATATGTATATATATATGTGTGTGTGTGTGTGTGTGTGTGTGTGTGTGTGTGTGTGTGTTGATTTGTGAGGGTATATTGTGTTTGAACATGACTATACAGTAATCGACAGAAATATCTTCTTTTATATGACGTGTCCCTGACTTGTTCCTTTTCATTTTAGCTCCTAGTAAAATTCGTCTTTTTTAAAATCTCTCCAATCTTCCTTCCGCCCTCAATTCATAGAAGCTGTTAAGACATGTGATCCGATGACTTTTCCTGTTCTTTTTGCTTTTGATATGCCCTGTGCATGTCAACATTTCCAGACTCTCATTTTTCGTTTCTGTCCAAGAAACATGTTTCTATTTTACTTAATACTTCCACGTTCTTTACGTGCTATATCCATAATATTTCCAGCAGACTTATGCCGAACCAAATCCAAGTTGCATGTGTGGAAATTGTCTAGCATTCACTGCCATATAAGAGGATAGATATTACATAACAATATCCCCGCCTTTTGTTTGTTTCTAACGAAATTTAATTTGTTATTTAATAACTATTAAATTATTTTATGGAAGGTATATTTGTTGCAGGTCTACAGTGTTATAAATTGTTCACTGTTAAAAGCGAAGCAAGAATAAATATATTTTCCTTGCCCAGGAGAAGGAAACGCAGCGGTCTCTGCGGGTACTATGACATACATTCCATCTGAAGTTATTTCTAGCGTAGTACTGGTCATAATTTCTTAAAGGTGCTGCCAAATTTGGCTCTTCCTGTGGTTAACAAAGCCTGCACTGCAGAGCCAAATTCTGCCACACTCATCACATGTACATTGACGGATTGCTAGGTCAATGATTTCCCCCAATTCCGACCTTAACGCTTCATAAGTGATCAAGTCGTTGCATGTTCATGGAAGATCGTAGTGCTTTCACGAATTGTACGCCCCCCCACTTATGTCGATCACGAGCAGCATTCTCGACACTCGGGGATCATCAATATGGCGGACTGGAGAGGTTTCATTTGAACAGTTATTGAAACGCTTATTTGGATTAAACTGGAGTTGAGTGACGTAAAGCAACTCGGTTAGAGGATTTTCTTGGGTATTCTGCTGTCACCAATGCCAATGACAACGTGCACAGCGAAGCCAGTAGCGTTGAATCTCCATTTCGATGCTCTTTTTATTGGTCTTCTCAAGGACCACCGCGTCTTTCATGTAAGATAACCAGAATTGTGCTCTCACACATACGTATATATATATATATATATATATATATATATATATATATATATATATATATATATATATATATATATATATATATATAGAGAGAGAGAGAGACACGCACACACACAAATATATATATGATATTGAGCGCTTTTCAAGTATACTGCAGTACCGCGCAAACAATATATACATATATGTGTGTGTCAATTAGTACATATACACGTTCCTATGTTTTATATTTGGCCGTTTCATATATAGATATTATATTATATATATATATATATATATATATATATATATATATATATATATATATATATATATATATATATATATATATATATATATATATATATATGCATATATATATATAGTTGTGGAGTGGATAAATGAAACGGAAAATATAAAACGTAGGTACGCGTATAATTACTAATTGATACAGACATATATATATATATATATATATATATATATATATATATATATACACCATATTGAGCCCTTTCCAGGTATACCCACAGTACCGTGCATCAATTAGTACATATACGCGTAACTACGTTTTATATTTGTTTCATTTATATATATATATATATATATATATATATATATATATAGTCAGATGCAAAAGTGGGTATACAGTAATGAAAAGAAAAACGTGCGCCCAAAACATATAGTATTGATTGTATAAATATATCGCTAATAAATATATCAATCCCTCAAATGTTAAAACTGTTTGCCCCGTCATTCTCACACACTGCTTTTTACTTGTATTGATGATCCTTATTTATTAAAAAGAATAAAAATTATCATAAATGTATCATAATAAAAATCAAGAAAAGAAAAAATCTTGAAAATAATTCCAATAAATTTTAATATTAAATGCACCCTAGAACCACCAGCATATTGCTTACTTAATAACCTAATCTGTATTCTAACAAACAGTTAATTTAGTACTTGAAAGAGAAAATTCTATGTAATGCGTTCTGTCTTGCAAAAGGACTTCATCAGATTAAAATTTTCTTATTTATAGAATATATATATATATATATATATATATATATATATATATATGGTGGATGTCCCGTCGTATTCGACGTATGCGGGTCAGCAACTTAGTTCCTAGGAAACAACAACCCAGACACAAGCATATATAATTGGATTATAGTGGTGAAGGTTTCGTGCAGGACCCTCCACAGCTTTTTGAAGGGCCGAATTTAGAGACCTTGTGCACTAAGTGCCACAAGGTCCCCAAACGACCCTCCGCAGGTTTTGAATTCAGAGTTGTCCTTCGCCTAGACCAGTTGCCATCCAACGCTATAGAACACAGTCTATCCTGCTAATTACCCATAGCTGGAGTGAGAATATATATATATGTAGTAAACCTGGTTTTATCATAGAAATCCAAAAGGACCTACGCACGCCTGACCACTATATATATATATATATATATATATATATATATATATATATATATATATATATATATATATATATATATATATATATATATATATATATATATATATATATATATATATATATATATATATATATATACATATTTGTGTATGTGTGTATTTATTAATATATACTTAATAACTCTGTATATATATATGAGTAAACGATGAGTTTGACACCGTGTAACGACAGTAATTCAGTTTCATACTTGAGCCCAATTTACAAAGGTCGAAAATTGCGTTCTTGACAAAGACTGTCGCCACTCCGTGCTGAACTCTTTGCTCACTGTTATATTAACATACGCTATATTCATCTTATTGAGCAAATTTACCTATAAATATGGTATACATTAAAACTGTATTTCTGTTATAATAAGCATTTAAGAAATCTCCTGCGGAGGACTCTTGATTCGGCCTTCATCATAATAGGTAGGGAGAAATCAATATACCACAGAAGATCTCAGAATTGATCCTTCATTTAAGTATTGCTTTATTATCTAAACTTGCCTTTTAAAAGTTCAAGGATAATTCATCTGCTTCCACTTCATTTAAAGATAATTTGATTGCGTGGGTCCTTACTTTCCATACGAACAATTATTTTTATTTCATGGGTGACTGGATTCTGCAGGTAATTTCGATTATTCCTAAATTTATTTTTAAGTTATAAAAATTGTTATCGTACAAAAAATGGTGTCGCAAAAATCACGTAAAAATATCCAAATATTACTTATCAACACCTGTGCAAGGAAGAAGAATGAACAAAAAAAATAATGAAAGGACATGAAAATTTTCAGAGCGGAGTTTAAAATATTATAGAATGGGAGTAAGAATTTAAAATTAATACTTTTATAAAACTATGTTAATATTAATCCATTCAATACTACATCTTTAACTATATAGTAAAAGATACTGTAAAAAAAAATTAAGTAAATTATTCAGATATTAACTTCAATTAAATATATCCAATCTCATTATATCAATATAATATTAATATTTCAAATATTAAGTTTATAATTATATCACTGTCCATTTCGCGTTTATCTGTACCGATTCCACTACAATCACTTTAGGTCACTTAACTCTCTTTATCTATATAATTTCCTCCCTCTATTATAGGCCAATTCTTACTCCCTCTCCTTTTATTCTTTCCTTTTTTCCTTCTTTCCCTCTTTGCCTTCCAAATTTCGTGTGAAGAAATGTGGGAATTTATTCATTTTAGTAAATGAATTTGCCTTGAAAAGCCCAATGAAAAACCACTTTCTCATTTCTGTATTGGGTAAATTGTTTGGATTTCATTAATTGTAATTCACTTATATGCTCTATAATAAAAATTATATTCAGCTCTTTTTTGTGGATCAGTTTTAATATTTCATATTAATAGGATCTACTTGGATTACTTAACCACGGATTTTTTTACCTATATATAAATACATACATACATATATATATATATATATATATATATATATATATATATATATATATCTCTAAGTTCAAAAGCTTGAGGCCACCCTTGGTAATTCTTTTGTTAAATTTTCCCAAATGTAGTTGTTTTGCAATTTAAATAAGAGAAAATTAATTAAACAGGGTTAAAAAAGTGAGACGTGATTTCTATTAGAAATTTTATTATGGCAAAAAGAAAAAGCATTTCATAATTAAATTTTGCTCTCGTCAGAAAATCTTACTTTAGCTTTGATTATTACAGCAAAAATTTTTTGGCATTCGTTGCAAAAGCTTATCAAAGTTTCAGTTTGATAACTAATTACATTCTATTTTCAATATGTCTAAGAGCTGTTTTTTCGTTTTTTTTCCCCCTCTTCTGTCAAGTTCATTCCATGCTAATTCTGGGGTTTGCTTCAAACTTTCCAACTGTAGTATATATATATATATATATATATATATATATATATATATATATATATATATATATATATATATATATATATATAGTTCATTTCCTTCATTTTTAACACACCCTGTTCTCACCTTTGAATAGTTAATATTTTTATGCTACTTCTTTTATATTTTCCTGATATTTTTTCCTGATATTACCTCGGATATCAAATATTTAAAATCTTCAAATCTGTATAACAGTGAGCAATTTCAGTTAATAAAAACATCACATCACACATGTGAAATATAATTCTGCTTATTTTCTTCGCATAAATAATCAGTTGCACTTCTCTGCAAGAATAAAAAGCACATTCCTCGATTGTGCAATCAGTTATCTGTTTAGATTTCATATTTTTTTGACCACTGCATGATTTGAAAGATTAATGTTGAATCTTAGCGCTGTAGCTTTTCACCCCAGTCCCGTAAATAATTCTTTGCAAATGTATAACAAAGATCCATGTCACTGCGAAGGTGTTTTATTTATGAAGGACTTTATACAAACGAAAAATTTATTATTATATATATAGTTGTATATTTAGGCAGCAACCCTTTCTTTATGCATGTTTCATTAAAAACGACAGACACGGTACTACAGCTTTTTGGGATTTTTTTTTCTAAGATACAATACTTGCCTCTAGATAAGCATGTTGAATCTTAGCACTGTAGCTTTCACGCCAGTCCTGTAAATAGTTCTTTGCAAGAAATTTTCAGTGTATAACATAGATCCGTGTCACTGCGAAGGTGTTTTATCTTTGAAGGACTTTATATAAACGAATAATTTATTTCATATGTGCGGTCGCTGATAAAGGCAACTTTTTAAGAAAAAAAAAACATAAATATATATATATATATATATATATATATATATATATATATATAGTTGTATATTTAGGCAGCAATCCTTCCTTTATGCAAGTTTCATTAAAAACGAAAGTATGTGGTAGGGATGTTTTTAATTTCCGAGTACGGTTAGCACATTGTGGCTTTGTTCGTAGTTAATATTGCTAAGAGTTGGCTTTTTCTTTTTTATTATTAATGCTTCCATTATTTTTAGTCTTTTTTTCTTTGCAGGTGGATGCAGTTAATATATTTGTGTTTTCTACTAGTATGTTTCTAATGGAGTCTGTTAAATTTGTGTGTGTGTTTAAATGGGTTCTAATAGAGCTGTGATCAGATAGGTGTAACGTAAGACGTCTGGATAAGAATACTAAGACATACACATAATGCACACACTCAATAAGGCTGAAAAATCCAATCATCCTCGATAATGACGAAAGGTATAGCCGAAAGCGCTCGTAAATATAAAACATTTGGATGCTTACACGCCCTTTGTCCAGAAAAGAAAGCTCTTGTTCGAACACAAGAAAAATTAAATAAAAAGCCTAGCCGTAGCACCTTGTCTGTCTTTTTAATATATATATATATATATATATATATATATATATATATATATATACACTTACCTGGCTTATGTCAGAGGGCATCCCCAGACGAGGCTCTGACGAGGGTGGTGTCTCGTCTCAGAAAACTGACTCCGTTTTTACGTGGTCTATAGGGATTTTTGCCCGAGCCTACGGGCTCGGATACCCCACTTTAAACTCGGCCTTGTGCCACATCTTGCTGCGAGGGGAAGCGGATAAATAATTATATATATATATATATATATATATATAGAGAGAGAGAGAGAGAGAGAGAGTTAGATAAAATTACTACGGTATGAGTATATGGGTGACATTTTACTGTTGATTTCTATCTTTTATTTCTTTATGTATAAAATGCCATTGAACAAATCGCTACCAATTCTTCCCAGATGAGAACATTTTGTGAGCACGAATCCTCCTCGGATGAAGAAGTAGGACTCGGCTGAAAGTAAAACCTTTACGACCCAATCGTATATGGCGGGCGTGGGTTGAACAAGTGAATGCCGAATCAACAGAAGAAGGAATAATCAGAAGTAAAACTGGAGGCAGCCTGTCTCGAGTTTGGAATGACAGGCGACACTCGATAGTCGCTATCAAGTTATTGATTCAAACAAATGCTTTCGTACTTTCTCCAGTATGACGTTGCCAATAAAGAACTACGTCTCGTTATAAATTTAACGACAAGAAAATATATTTTAATATCCTGCCAATAGGCTACAAAGATGAAAGAACCAAATTTTGGAAACCGACAGACATTTTTTTAAAATCATTTCGCCTCAGGCAAGGCGTGAGTGTCACCAGTACGGAGGGAGTTATAGATAGTGAAAGTGAGTAAAAATACAGGTATAGGGTGATTGAGGAAAGAATAAAAATTGTACGGGATTCTAAAAGATAAAAGATAGCGATTGACGTCGCATTTAAATTTTTGAAGAGTGTAGTTATCAAGGAAGCAAGTAAATGGAACGGACTTCCACGGGCTGGAATTGCGGGAAAAAAATCTGTTGGCGGTTGTATTTGACTATTTCAACAGTAAAAAAAAGGTGGGACCTAGATGCCAATCTAGTAGCACGCGTAAATTCATGTATTCGGAGCATTAATGGAAAAAGATCGCAAGAGCAGTTTCCATGGAAATATTTGTAGAAAAGACAGAGGGAAGCTACGTCACGTCGGTGGGAAAGTGACTGAAGCCTAGATGCCAAGTCAGGACAGATTGCATCCTTCTTTAGAATTTGGCAAGAACCTGGAGATGAATAGCAGGAACACCAGACCATATATAGCAACAGTTGGGGACAAAAAGGCTTAAGCCTACGTATGCAATGCCCACTCACAGTTAAGCTCAAATTAATGACATTAAATGTCTATTTAATCTGCTGTGTCTTTCTTTTCAGTATGTGAACAATCATGGCTCACCCCAAGCTTCTATATTTTACTATAAATCAGGCGTGGTGCGTAATAATCATTCAGGGCGCCGGCGATCATGGTTGTCCACAACTTCCTATTCTCTGACGCTTCTAGCAATATTTACCATTTCACTATCACTCCCAATTCTTGCTCTGCATTTCATTTACAAGAGCTTATGTTTGGGAATTTTTTCTTCCCCACCCCGAGTATATTTATTATTATTATTATTATTATTATTATTATTATTATTATCGCTTTTGATTTCTGTTGTATACACATTTCCTTCCGGGACCCAACAAGAGACCTATGATCGGAAATGGCTTCATGACATTTTCCACTGATCATTTTTGTAAAAAAAAAAATATATATAAAAACATAAAAAAATTAAGATCAAACACATTTCCTATAGATAAAACCCTTCGTAACGTGTTTGCTGAATTTGTGAGTACAATATGTTTGTATTTCTTTAAGGCTTAGGAATCCTTTCAATAAATCTATCGGAACCTTTTCCAATCAATCCGAGGGTCGTAACTATAACTGGAATTATTGATATTCTCATGTGCCACATTTTTGAGATTTCGATTTAAAGGTCCTAGTATTTTGATAGTTTTTTTTAAAGATATTCAGAGATTACAGGGAATGCCATGTCAATATGAATGGACATTTTGTTTTTGTAGTCTCTGATCACGATGTCTTGGCAAGTAGCTTTGATTTTTCTGTTTGTGAGTATTGTAAAGTCTAATAAAATTGTTACAAACCCTATGTCACTATTATTATTACACACTACCTACCAAATTTACGGGATATACCTATGGCAGGCAGTGGCGTGTTGTTATAGGCTACATTATATGATTTGTTTTTCTAACTTCCATAGCATGACTAGCGTTACACGGACAACTTACTTCTTACTGTGTGGGCTCTACTTATCACGACAATTTTTTTATTTTTCTTAAGTTGCGATTTCCAGGGATTTTTTTAGTGTGTTGTTGTATTCCTTTTTTTATCATTCCAAGCGCACCTACTATGATAGGTACTATTCTTGTTTTCAATTTCCACATTTTTATATT